CATCAATTCCAAAGCAAATATTGATGATATCTCAAAAGCTAAACAACCAGTTTCACAAATCTCACAAACCTTTTTTGCTGCTTAGTTTGTGAGATTCGGATATTGTGCACACTGGGTGTGATATAACTATCTTATTGCTAACGTCGCCTTCTTTGATAACTTTTTGGTAAATAAACATGTTTGTTGTCTTTATTTTTTGTGTATTCACTGTATTGTATTGAACAAAATGGTTATGCGGCCTGTGCTCATCATTCTCTCAGTTATCTGGCCCACTGTGAAAAAAGTTTGGTGACCCCTGATCTACACTGAAGGGTATTTTGGTGTGTAATTTTTGCTAAAGGGTTGCATACAAATGTTTAAGTTAAAATTAACTGTTTAACTGTCAGCTTGAGGACAAGCTTCAAGTGTGTGTGTGTGGGGGGGGGTATATAAACATATGCATTTCTACTTTTGTATTTTTAGATAGTACTGTTCAAAATCTTTCAGTCATTATGTTCACTTTTTGCATAATGTATGTCAAGAAAGACATTAAGTTGCATTCGTTCTGGCTTTGTCATTCTCTTCAGGCAACACCTGGTCCACCCATGTGGAGGTAAGGCTGTACATTGAGCAAGAATGTTGACAGCAAGTCTTTTTTTTTTCAAGTTACAGCTTGTAAAATTTATTTTTAGAACAAGCACAACATTTCGATCACTGCTGCGATCATTCTCAAGTACACAAGTTGACAGCAGAGTCCTCCAATAGTAGATCTGGTGATGCCATGAGGTTATAACCTCCCTTACATTTCAATGATATTGACTAACAATGCCACAGGCATACTTGAGAATGAAAAATAAAATAAATACTTAATTATTAAGTAAACTCAAAACAAAATTATTTAACCTGTAATGCTAACTATTCTTAATTAACCTTTTAAGTTTTTCGGAGAGTTTGGCATTAATTATTTTGTAGCGGTCTGATCCTTTGTGCAATAATTACATAATTTTGACCATTTCCAAGTTTAAACATTGTATCCAGTCTCTTTATTTCATTCTCATACACTCAGTTTCAGAGAACTACTATATTATTTTGTAATAAATATTTTGTCAAATATCCTGTTATTCAGCATATCTAAGCAACCATTATAAGGAAAATCAATATCACTCTATGATTATAGGGCAAAAGAATGCTATAATACTCCTTGATAAACAAGTTTGTATATCTGATTCGTTTTAAAATTTAAGATTGACAACTTGAAAACAAGCCTAAGGTAAAGAAGAGAGAAAAAGTGAGATATACAGGCAAACCATGCATTTTCTACCTTCTCGTTTTATTATTGTTTTTCAAAATTTTTTGTTTATTCAGGTGTATTTGCACTTTTCACATAACAGGTAATCAAGAAAGTCATTAAGTTGATTTTGTTTTAGCTGCCTTTTGTTTTCAATCATATCATGGAGAGGACACCTGGTCTGTCCGTGGTGGAAGGGGGTTTGGCAGTAAAGTTATACCTTGTACATGAAGGTTGACAGCAGTGCCCTCCAATGGTAGGTCAGGTGGCTGTCAAGGTTACAATCTACCTTATGCTTGAATGAGAATTACCAATGGCATAGGTAGCACTAGTCACTATGGTCAAGTCTGATGTTACCAAATTAAATGAATAACATGAGAGTTAGTCAGTCTGAAACATCATATTGAGTGAGTAAATCAGCTTCAAAACAAGTCTTGAGGGAGTATAACCAGCCTGAACAATCTAACTCTCCAGTAAAGACAAGTGTCATTCAAAAAGGTTACCTACACACACTGCTACTTTGTGTTGTAAGAATAAAGATTGTTTTATCATAAATTACACATCATGTCCAGTCCATTTATATCTTAGCACAAACTCTGCTAGTTCCAGTAAAAATTAATATTACTTTGCAATATAGCTTGCCCAATATCCTATTATGTAGTGGACCTATCTGATTTACTCTTTCAGGAAATCTGTCGCTTGCTATTCACATATTATGTTATACAATTTTGTAAATTATTTCTACGCTTGAAAATGTCAATTAATATCTCTGTTCTTTAAAATACTTCACTTATAAGATAACTGGTACACAATTTTTTTCTTCTTTGCCAATACTAGCAGAAAATTTAATTGTTTTGAAGAATGTACATTTATTTACACAATCAAAAAGATATCCATGTTTGAGAAAACTAAGTCTTTCAATTAAACTATTACAAAATTGTTTGTTTATTATACATTAGTGGTCTGAAATAAGATGGTAGAATAGATAAAAACAATCCTACAGCACTATAACTAAAAGAAAAATTGGTAATGGGTGGTGGTGGCGATGGGGTGACAAAGAGGTGGGTTCAGGAAGCAAAGTTATTTTTTACTCTAACACCCAATCTGGGTGTCAGGGAGACTTGTTTGTGTGTGTGTGTGTGTTTGTGTGTGCATGGGGGAAGTTTGAGTTGATTCCCAAACAGTTTTCAAGTACTCTCTTTTTTCAATTCTAAATAGGTATTTTAACTCAAAATCTCACACAAAACTCAATAGTGCCCACACATGTTGCACAATACAAGATTTGGTTCCTCAGCACTATAAAACTGTTATATCTCCTTGTTCTCATGAATGCTGTCAACACAAATGGCCAAGAAAGGGTCAACAAAGCTAATTTATCATTGTAAGGTAGGTAAGCAAGGTACTTACCTGAACACTCCTACTATTTTGTGCAAGAAGAACACTATCCAGCCAATCCCCTAAAGTCCGCATAGTCGTGGCTAAACACTAGTGAGATACGAGTATTATTTTTGAGATTAACAAATTGAGCTCTTTTCCAATAAACATAATACTTTTTTTTACTCTAACTTGAATACTGGAAACTCTGATACCCCTCTGTAGCCCACTTAATATTCCAAATCTGGTTTGATTAACTCACAGACTGGATGTTAATGTAATAAGGGGAGAGATAAAATAGGAGGACTTTGAAAAAATACAAAAAAAAATATGCGACTTCTTGAAAACATAAGACTTTCTCTTCGACAACATAAAAAAAAAAAGACATACACATCTTTAAATCATGAACAAAAAGATTTAGTGATTTTCTTTGGAACACAGAAAAATGATATACTCTTTAAGAACAAAAGGTTTCCTTGTGAATGAAAAATACAAATTCTTAGGAAACAGAAAAGCTAGCTGTCCCATAAGTATGTCTTGTTGGCCAAACAAAATGGCATATTTAAAGTCCATGAATATTTTCCAAAATAAAATGTGTTATTATAGTATTTTGGCACTTGTGTATAAAGTTAAAATCATAAATAATATTCAACGTTAAACTGGTACACAATTAAAAACATTTTATTTAGGCCTATCTATGGCCTTCTTTTTAAAAAGTTGACGACTCTACATGTTTTGACGTTACAATGTCATCCTCAGGAGTGTTGTTTATTGAAGAGCCGAGAGAAAATATTAACATAAGCAAAAACTGAACATGTATAATGCCAATTAGCCTAATTTTAACATACAAGGGCATGAGCCACAAAATGTCAAAAATCTCACACATGGTTAAAAAATTGCAAAATGTAGACTGTAAAGGAGGAAGAAATGAAAGTCAATTAAACAAAAAACAAAGGCTAAAAGTAATAGCAAAAATATTTGAAATGAATCTCATTGGAAATCAGACTTCAAACATTATATCTGAATAAACTCTGTTTCTTCTTATTTCACAGAGAACAAAACTTTTCAATGAAATAATTTTGAATGTATACAAAATAAATGCTGCACACTTCTATATGAACATGCTTTAGTGCATAGAAGCATTCAATACATTATGTAGAACATATTAATAGAAAAAGTTAAAACAAAAAATACATGTTCTTACCTGTTATTACAAAATTAGAAATTAACATACCCAGCAATGCCTTGTGTTTATTGTTTCTTTTTCAGTCTTGGTTAGGTATTATATGAGCATCAAAAATACTGAACTTTGTAAATCAATCTTTTCCAGATTTATATTCATAACTAAGGTAAATTAAAAATAATCATGGGCCTTTTTTTGGGGGGGAGCCAGCTTTGCTTTCTAATAAATAACAGAAACTGTCAGAAGGTGTACAGAAAGTTAGGATCAAAGAACATAAAAATGTGGCAGAAAAATATAAAGTAAATGATTTGGCCTTAGCAGAATATATGGCAAGTACATCTTATTATAGAGTGGAAAAAAGTTAAACTGATAAATCAGGTGGAACTTAAATGTGAACTAAATATTTGTAAAAAACTATTGTATTGAACAAACAGGTCCTTCCATGTCAGAAGAAATGAAGTACTGGACATATGTTTTATATACTCTCTGGTATGTTTAAGCCTAAATAGCACTTAAAATATGCAAATTAATGATGTGGTTATATAAGTTGTGATTGAAATTTAACATATTCCTGTGGATGGTGGCATAAAACACCAAAACATGTAGCCTTTTTAGGGCTGGACCCGGTTTTTAATAAATTATTTACAGTGCAATTATTTTAACATTACATTCCTTTTAATTGCAACCAGACTTTTCCCAACCCTAAGTTTCCTCGTCAAAATACATATTGACTTATTGACATTTGGCTATTAACTAACTGTGTGGTAACCTAAGGGACTATAAAAAAAACATTTACATTCAAAGAACAAATATCAAAAAGTAAAATACACAATTAAAAAACACTTTGAAAACCCTCTACTCATTTTAAGAGTGGCAATAAGCAAGAATCAAACCAACAAAGTGGATATAAAATTAATAAAATTTGATTACAAGGAACCCACCTTTTAGATCATACAAGTTTTGAGATGGCTTGACTGGGTAATGTAAAAACTTTATTATAAATATACAACATTTTGACAAGATTTTGTCATCCTCAGGTACCTAAGGATGACAAAATCTTGTCGAAATGTCGTACATTTATAATAAGGTTTTTTCATTACCCAGTGAAGCTATCTCAAAACTTTTAAATGAATAAAATATTGAACTCTTTCCTAACCAACTTAAGAATGGATGCAAATAAAGTTAAACCTCATAATATAAATAAGTTATGTATGGACATTGGAATACACAAGAACCAGGCTTAAATAACAACTGAATACTAATTTTGCTAGGCAAAGCTGTAAATGGAAATTAATCTTAGCCAATTACCTAGTCTTTTTTTTTTCTCCTAGTCATCTTCAGTTGACAAATGGTGAAAAAAAAAAGAAAACAGTGTTAACAAATAAACACTTTCTAAATCTGCACTGTAAGTACCACATTATGGGGAAAAAAAAGTTTCTAAATAAAACTTATTACCTGAACAAAATTCCTCATCAGCTGGTGATACCACACAAAACTGTTATTTGATTTAGCACTGAAAACATTCTGATATCAAATCTGTAAAAAACAAAAAATAACTCAAAGCTCTAGTCTTATATCAATATTATAACTCCATGAAAAACTAATCAAAAATATATAGTGCAAATGAAATGCAAAAAAATAATACAACATATCTGATAGCTACAACATGCCCAATACTGATAATGCATGTATCAAATTTTCTACAGACTGCAAAAACCTGAAAAACACAATTAGTGAAGCAAAATCATATGTGGTACCTTGCTATTTATTTTGGACATTATATTACTTAGCTAACATTCAAACAAATGCACAATCCAAATAGCAAGACACCCAATAGATTAAATTTTGCAATGAAAGTTTTATATGGCAAGTTATTCACAAAATGATTTTTAATGTTTTTCATTTGTCAACCAGACTGAAAATATTCTAACTCTAAAGTAAGAGCTCTGATGCTGTTCCTCTGTTTAATAACTTATAATGGGCTTATACAATTCTATAGGTTCCTTATTTAAGTTTATATTATTATCTACATTTTATATTTAATAATTAGGGCAACAACCTTTATCTTAACATTTTGGACACTGTATTACATTACACTTTACATACACCTAAAGTTTACCTGTACTTGAATTTAAAAAATAAAAAACATGCAGGATGAAGAAAATCTCAGAAGATAACTGATGACTAATAAAAATAAACAATATTCATGAATCTTTATTGCAGAATAGAAACAGTCACAAAGACATACAAAGTAACTTATCTTGAACAGTAGTATGTTTAACTTTAAAAGTTTGGTTTAAAACTCTACAGTATTACTATTACCATACAGCTGACTTGGGAGTGTGCAGCACAGGTCATTACACCAAGTTACACTTTACAGTTACACACAAATTTTCCCGTAATGTACGTTTTATCATTTAATGATTTACACTACAGTAATTGCATCAGTAAATGTTGATACCGTATTTATAAAGCAATAATTAGCTCCTCAGTTTAAGACTTTAACACTGTCGTTCGTTCAAACTTTTAAGTATAATTTATCGATTCAAAATTCGAACACAAGTATCACTATTACTTAGTAAGACTACTTACACTAAGTTTGTACCACTACTAAAGTAACACTAGAACTAGAAGTAGTAATACTAATATAAATTAATAAAGCATGAATTTAACACTTCTTTGCTTACATTTAGTTTACTACACTGACTGGACTAAATATTAAATTTAAACGACTTTTAACAGTTTCAAAACTTTATTTTTTCTTAAATGAGCTCGTTTTTAATTTGAATTGACAAATTCTAAATAAATAATAATGTTGTTATAATTTGTTATACTACCTTTAATTCAAAATAATTTCCAAAACTCTGCACCTGTCGCGATTAACGGTACCATCGCTTATCTTTTAAACCGATAAAAAATAGGAGTAAACACCTAACGTCGAACTAAATCACCATTACAATTTACTCTTATAAGTTATAATAATAAAATCGCTCTACCCCAATTTAAATGAACGTTAATTTTAGCTTTTACTCAAACATATTAACAATTCACAAATATATTATTGTCACAAAGCCCCAAAAATTGCATTTGTTTAATGTTGTTGTTTGTTGTATTCTCGCAAATTTACACATGGTTATGTGTGGTATTCGTAAATTAGTGCCTAGCGGAGAGGCTACTAGTCAATAGTCCCAATGCCAGTTTTTGGCCACTCTTAGGGAGTTCGGTGACAATAAAAAAGTAAATAAGTTGTCAATTACCTGTGCCATCGCAATTCTGCTGAAGGTATCGCCTTTACTCGAGAATACTGGGGTGTAATGGATCGTTCAAAAAGTCCGTAATGCATTTTTTTTCTTTTTGACCCCACCTCACCCCGTTTAACATCAATTATTCATTACATAATTTTTACTGATCAGCCCTCTTCCCCTTATCCCAGACTCTTTAAGTATATTGTTACGTCTCCGTGTGTTAATTAATTTTCCGTAACTTCGTTCCGACGAAATTT